GTGTAGACTTGGGATGTGCATCTCCAAGGCAAAACAAGATTAAGCGCAGACCTGCAGCATTTTTCTGCTCGGTCTGTACGTGTGCTCATCGCAACAGGCCGAGAACTTGCTACTGGAAAGATTTTCTGTTGGAGCAATTTCCCAAGAGAAACTCCTGTGCCTGCAGGTGAAAACTAGGGAAAAAGATCAATTCTGCTAGGGCTTTTCGAATGAAAAACTTAGGGAGCTATTTGGTACTAAGTCAACTGGGTCTGAACACGTTGGGTTCGAATCAAAAACTTCTAACAATGCAATAAAACACTGATCTGCAGTTTCCTATCAGTAGGATATTTCCGGAGCAGGGAAGGGTGTGAATACAGTCCTGGATCACATTCACATCTCCGGACTGGCTCCATGAGAGACTACTAATTCCCACCACCCAGTAAAGGTTTTCTTTAGGCAGGTTTTACATGTGTCATCACCGGAGGTGTATGTGCCCTGCAGAGAATGGCATGTGGGCAGCAGGGAAATGGGGCTGAACCCCGACACTCCAAGTTCTCTGGGGTGCAGAAACACGGGTCCACACTGAATCAGCCCAAAGATTTTGAAAGTAGGGTCAGTTCAACTGCCCTCAAACTGTTATATTTGGGTCTAAAATACTGAAATGGAGCATAGGCTAGACTAGGCTTGTATGCATTAGTAGCAATTTTGCATATACCAGTTGGTGATTAGAAAAAGCAGACAAGCTTCCAGGTATACACAGTGTTCATCAGATCAGAGGTACCACCCTCACTTCCAAAAATCCTGGCTGGTTTATGTGCTAGGACTATCCCAGCTACGCCATGACCACCACAAGGAACAAAACCACCCAGAACAGACAGCTCAGTGGAGAGCCTTCCTCTATTTCTGCATTCTTTCCAACAGCAACCTATATTTAGCCCTTCCCTTCCAGGAGGCCATGTGCCCCACCACGATCAGGGCCACCTGCACTCAGGACCTCCAAGCCCTACAGTTCACACCCTTTAGAGTCTGTAAGTTAAAAACCCCTCTGTTGTAACCTACACTGTGCTACAAGGATTACTGTTTGCCATCTGACTGTAAATAACCATAATGCACAGAGCTTAAACTCTGTGGAGTGATTTATTTACAGGTGATTAGACAGGATGACTAGCAGTAGCATTTTTAAGGACACTCAAGCTTCTCTGAAGGTTGAAATCTTCTCTGTTGTTTAAAATAAATTAATCAACTCATAGACATTGAAACATACTTTTCTCTTGGATCATGTCAGATCCAAATGCAAAAATGCGACCTTATGGCTCAGAACATTACTCACAAACCTTCCAGATGAGCAGCAGACAGCAGCTCAAGACCCCAGCAAAGAGCTATTCCTGCAGCAAATGCAAGGTCAGCCCAGCCCCATGGGCTCCCTTTCAACTCACAGCAGCACTAAATACATTACTGCTCATTGCAGATGATTTGTGGGTGAGAAACAGCAGCACGAGAGCTTCTACCAACCTCCCAGGCCCTGTCACGGCAGCACAACGGATGTGTCTGCCCAGACCATGGCGACAGAATAGCTCAGATGATGACAACCACTAAACTCCCAGACCCACCACCTCCATCCACCTGAGGCAGGACCAGCTGGCAGAGCTGAGACAGCCGAAGGCTCTCAGCAGGGTAAAGCGCTGCTGGCAAGTCCAGGGATGAAGAACTTGCAGCAAAGAGCAGGGCAGGAGCAGATCAGGAGGGGTAGAGACCCTCAGGGTGACACAGGGCAAAACCAGCCATGTCCACCCCAACGTCCTTCCCTTTGGCATCCTCACACAAAGCTTGCTAGCTGCCACAAGCAGGGGTGGACAGCGGGACAGCTGTGTCTGCCAGCAGAACCCAGGGCACTGCTGCACCACATTGCTAGGACCCTGAGGGTGCCAGGAGCAGGCCAGGCCAGCACCCTGCCAGGGTGTCCTCTCAAACCTCCCTCCACCCTGACTCCCAGCAGCCTGAGCACAGACCCAAAGCACAACCAGCCCCTCCATGTGGAAGTCATCCTTGCAAGGGGAAACTGTGGCCCAGAGATCATCACCCCAGCCCCACATTCACAGAATCATAGAATCACTGGGTTGGAAAAGCCCTTAGAGATCATCCAGTCCAACCGTATCTGTCCACCACTAAACCATATCTCTCAGCACCTCATCCACCCGTCTCTTAAACACATCCAGGGATGGTGACTCCACCACCTCCCTGGGCAGCCTGTTCCAGTGTGTGATAACCCTTTCGGTGAAGAACTTCTTCCTTACGTCCAATCTAAACCTCCCCTGGCGCAGCTTGAGTCCATTCCCCCTCGTCCGATCATCTGTCATTAGGGAGGAGAGACCAACACCCACTTCTCCACAACCTCCTTTCAGGGAGTGGTAGGCAGTGATCAGGTCTCCTCTCAGCCTCCTCTTCTCAAGCCCACTGCATCACGACAGTGCCACTTCACTGGGCCCAAATCTCAGCTTTCATTTACAGCATTTTCATTTTCATTTACGTGCCTTGAACCCACCCCAGGGCAAAAATAACCTTAACACCATAAGCTGATGTTCCCACCAGCCTCATGAGGCATCCAAGCCCCTGCAATGCCTCTGTGTGCAGCCAGCCTGCAGGAA